AGAACTACAGATACTAATCATTAAAATAAGAAAAGTTTCATGACGAACGTTTAAGGGACCAGAGAGAACACTCTCGGACAAAATTTGTCGCTTTTTACAGGTTTCCATGGCAACGGTAGACATATTGGAACTGAACGACCTCACTGCACAACTACAACCAGTGATCGTCCTTGAAGGAAAGTTTCAGGAAGATTGTCCCAGCCATCTCCGAGAAACAGCCTGGATAAAAAAAACATGCGTACAATATCAATATGTCGTCCCCGACTTCGTTCGGGGCGACATAATAACTCCTGAATTTTTCTCATCAATAACTCCTGAATTTTCCCCTTCAATTCGAGCATTTCTGCATTGCAGAGAGCTGATGTGTGTTATGAGATAATAAATCATGTGTGAACTTTCTCAGTTTAGCGGAATCATGAACATTTTCGGCGAGATGAATGTTTTGTATACAGTGGTGATCAAGGCTTTGCGAACCATCAGGAGTGGATCAAAGAATTTATGAATGAATAAAAACTATGGAAATGACGTACCAATTTTTTAATTTATACTTGCACTATCTAATGAAATGAATAATATACAAGTGATACATATACAAGAAAACGCGAAATGATAATAAATGCAGCTGACAATCGTTATTTTTTTTTATATAGATAAAATAAAATATTTATAAATTCAAGAGACAAAACAGAAGGAGAATGAATGATGGCAAAATATCACATGACGGGAACTGAATTTTATGAATGAAGATTTTAAAAAGTTACTTGTAAGTTGTATATGTTATATCTGTGTATTCTACTTGGCTGTGTGCTTCATAAAAAGAGGGGGGGGGGGGGGGGTCGTCTTGAACATAGTGAATAGCCATAACGTTTGAACGGTAAGTACTAGGGCTTTCGTATTTCAAATATGTAATCCTTGTGAAAAGAACTTTTATTGCATACGACGAACTTTGACCCTTTGACCTAGACCTTGGAGAACACATGTGTACATCTGAATCTTTTTTACTGTTTCGTTTCTATGGCAACCGTGAGCGACTCATTACAATTATTTTGAAAGTAGAAATCACTTTGACACATTGCAAGGAATAAACATTGAAAGTTTCAAAACGATTGCCTGAGTAGTTATTGAGAAAATCGAAATTAAAGAATTTTAACTTTCACCTGGTTTCCATGGCAATAATCGATTATATGAAAATTTTAAATACGAGTTGCAGAACTACAGATACTAATCATTAAAATAAGAAAAGTTTCATGACGAACGTTTAAGGGACCAGAGAGAACACTCTCGGACAAAATTTGTCGCTTTTTACAGGTTTCCATGGCAACGGTAGACATATTGGAACTGAACGACCTCACTGCACAACTACAACCAGTAATCGTCCTTGAAGGAAAGTTTCAGGAAGATTGTCCCAGCCATCTCCGAGAAACAGCCTGGATAAAAAAACATGCGTACAATATCAATATGTCGTCCCCGACTTCGTTCGGGGCGACATAATAATCTTAATCATCAGAATCAGTAGAAGGTCTTCCGTTGGAAACGGAAGACCTTTATTACGTATCTTAGTGTAGTCTACTTGTGTGCCAAGTAATACTGAAATCTGACCAAAACTGTAGGAGGAGTAGTATTTTGAAAGAATTTCACAGAAATTTATATTTTTAGTAACAACACCAACACTGTTGGAGAAGTAGCATTTTGAAAGAATTTCATATAAATTTCTATTTTTTGTAACAACACCAACACCGTTCGTCGAAATCAAAAACCGATACACAGAATTATGTATCTTAGTGTAGTCTACTTGTGTGCAAAGTTGTATTGAAATCAGACCAAAACTGTAGGAGGAGTAGCATTTGAGAGAATTTCATAGAAATTTCTGATTTTAGTAACTATGCCAACACCATTCGTCGAAATCATAAACCGATACACAGAATTACGTATCTTAGTGTAGTCTACTTGTGTGCCAAGTTATACTGAAATCTGACCAAAACTGTAGGAGTAGTATTTTGAAAGAATTTCACAGAAATTTATATTTTTAGTAACAACACCAACACTGTTAAAACTGTTGGAGGAGTAGCATTTTGAAAGAATTTCATATAAATTTCTATTTTTTGTAACAACACCAACACCGTTCGTCGAAATCAAAAACCGATACACAGAATTATATATCTTAGTCTAGTTTACTTGTGTGCCAAGTTATATTGAAATAAGACCAAAACTGTAGGAAAAGTAGGGTACTACTAAACAGAGTACGCTGGAGTACGATAGAGTACGCAAGAAAAATTGTGTATTCTAATATAATTAGACTGTTTATTCATGTATATACAACTTGATTAAACAGTAATTATAAAATAATATTGCAACATTTGTCCCAAGTATTTGTAATTTTAGCGATAGTTTGACAAGAAAGCAACATTCATATTTCAATGCATTAAATGTTATCAACACCCCGATCTCAGTTACTATTTTGTTTCAAACTTCTTAACTTTAATTAAATTTAATTTATCAAGAGAAGATAATCCACGAATCATTAAATATGGCCTAGTCTCAAAAAACGACCATTTGTTCAAAGATTGTTCTCTAGAAAATAAACTTTGATTAACTGTTTTCCTTTTTTCGATATCTTCTATACTTTTTTTACAAGACGGCGTCAAAGTTAGTGCTGTAAAAGCCTAAGAACACCCTTAGTTGTACGTTGCAAGTGAATCTAACGTAACGGTTATGTATACGGTCATGACATTAAAACCATGGCATGTGTATGCCTGCATTATAGTGAATTTTGCAAGATTTTCTTCTGTGCAAAAACTCAGTAAGACATGAAGCATATTTTTACGAATATCAAGATATATACTACACTGTAGTTATTCCAGTTAATTAATATATTGTTCAAGCAGTATATACCGGGCGGTCTATGTTGTTTAAAAATAGCATTTAACGAGGCCGAGTCTAATTCGAGTGCGCATCACTTTGCGCAGCTTTTTAATTTCATGCAGTCATTAATTATTTTAATTATAATACAAAATTAACATTATTTGTAACTCCTACTGATATGAAAATTTGATTTTACGACAATTATTGAAGAAATAACGTTCAAATGGCGCTAACAACGTCACCATAGATACGTATTTTTACTGAAATATGGCAATTTTAGAGATATTTATCTTCGACCTAGACCAATTGAGATGGTGAACTTTTTTAAAATTTCACAATTTGGTGACTTTTTACATTAACTTTCATTTACTTGAATTAAAAAGAAATCCCTAGGGCCGAAGTACAAAAAATATTGAAAAAATGTAATAATTTGGCGATTTTCCAACAAATTCCCATAGGGTCCAATAGTAAAGTATGACAACATATAAGATGGCCCACTAAGAAAACGGGGTGGTAAACATTCGATTTTTTGATCCTAAAACAATAAATATAACAGTAAAAATAAATCATCAAAAAATTTTCAAAATCCCTAGGGCAGAAATAATTAGACTCGGCCTCGTTAAAATCAATGAATCGACGACATAATGTATTCTATAAATTTATTTTTTTTCATTTTAACAAATTTGACAAATTCTGAAATATACTGAGTAATATTAAATTGAAAAAGAAAAGTTCTTTCATTCCGTTACTTGAAAAGGCTGCTTTGGGGCGAAATACAGAATATGGGGGTGAAAACACTTAGCGCGAAACCACTCGGATTTGCGCTGTCAGTAGTAAGTTCGAATTTACTCATAGTCATAATGTGTCGCGTAAACCTGACCAGCAGCAGATGAAATGGTAGAGTGTATGTGCAAAAAGGAATCAAGTGTTTGAACAGCCGAATGATATGCATAATAATTTGCAGTTGTCAAAATAGTAAGTATGATATACATTATGCATTTTACTATGTTTACCAATTTTGTATACATGCCTTTCACCCCTTTTTTAAATTGTCTGAAAACAGCTACACCATACATGTTGTTAAACCAACAAACTGGTCGGCTGATTATCATATTAATTAAATGATCGATTTATCATGTTTAATTCTTTAGTGTCAAATGCTGACAAAATAATTTAAATGTTTAAGAGCTCCATAGGGAGAGAGAGAAGAAAGAGAGATAGATTGAAAAAACTATTTCCTTTGAATAGGCCTAATTGAAGGGTATGGTTTCTGACTTTCACTTTAGTAAACATTGGAGGACTGTTTGATTAAATTTTCTGTGCATATTTTAAAATAAATAACATATATTAAATGTTTAGCAAGGAAATACACAAGCAAGTTAATTTTAAGCAACAACACATCATTCAGAGTCAGGAAATATTCTTTTAATCAACATGACTCACAGAAGTGATGCCATATATTTGTACAGGTAGGATATAAATGAGTCAAGAAAATCAACTGATGGTGATACATAATGAGACATTCACAAACTTGCATAATTATGAAAATTAATGACAGTTTGAATTTGTGTGCTATTTCACTAAATAATTTCTTCATGTTTCTAGGACAGGTGCACTTAATAGGGAATAGGGTTATTTTAAGATGTGAATATTGTTTAATTATAATAACTCTTATTTTAAAATTAAAAAAAAAAACAGTGATTTTCAATATGAGAATATCAATGTTGATCGCACAATTATTAATGAAGATTATCTGCTCAAATGTTTAAAAATTGCAATAAATGCCAACTAAACAAAATATGCAATGAGATCATTAATCTCATTATATACAGATCCATGTATGATGTAAGATATTTGTATTCTGTAACATAACAATATATGGAGATAAGATTATGTCTGCATATAATCAGTAATATTTATAGTATATATAACATTCATCTGTACATAAGCTGAAGGTTTTTGATAATGGAATATTTTTAGAATGGTATAAATATTATAACTTTAAAATTGAGATAATTAATCAACAGAATTTTAGAATAATAAAGGAGCATATAGGGGAATTAAATGGCATTTGAATATCAAAATATAATTTTCAGATTAAGCCATGGAATATTCACACAGATTTTAACTTGAATATTTCAGGATAAAGCAGTGTCAGTTAATTCCTCTGGGCCACTCTCTTCACTGTCACTGGACTCGTCTGAATCGTCGACCAGAGTAGCATCATCAAGAAACTCCCCCCAGTCTCTTACACCCAGTCGTCCCTCCCTTTGATGACGGGCATATCCAACATACCATAATATGGCAGCCACATGTGCACACATGCCCACTACTCGAGCACCTGCCCTGCATTTGCAATACCACCCAGTGATCTCACCAGCTTCATACTTCACCCACAACAAGTAAGATTTTGAAGAGACGTGTCGACTCTGCAATCTAACACGTAGAAGCCCTGGATCCTCCTTATGGACTAGTATGGAGCAGTCCCCCTCAATATGTTCCTGGGCATAACATGGGGATAATCTGAGCTGGTATGTGCCACAGGTGAGCGATGTTAGCTGGTCTTCATCCAGGCAGGGGAAGTCATTCAGATCACCAATATCTTCCCAGCAAGCTGTTCTGCGATCCAGGTGATTTTCTTCCACATGTTGCTGCAGAGAATTTACCTGTTTGGAGAGGTAAAGCATCTTGGAACCAAGAGCAAGATCCTCTTCAGTATCACCAGTAGAAAGTGGTTTCAAGTACCTAAGAGACAGAATACACTAGTGAGCATTTGTAGTAATTCTTTTGAAATAACAAAAATTGCTTATAAACTTTCCTTTATTGAAATATATCCATATTCTTTTAACTTGTAATAACCTCAGACCAAAATTTTAACCAAAAAAATTATTTTTTTTAATTTTATGAAAAATATTTCATGTAAACAAGATTTTTAAATTCTTCTGATATACTTTGATGAGCATTTGGAATTTTATTAAAAGGTGAATAGAAGTTATTTTGTATGGCTATAATGATTTTTTGTAGGAATCTAAGAAACTACATGCCTGTTGGATATTGCACACACAATCCGGACAAAGTCACCAATATGTGGTATTTGGCTTGATGGAAGTATTTTCCCCAAATAATGCCATTGCTTTATCCGAGCATTTGCAGATTCAACCACCCAGCGTATCTGTGGATAGACATATAGGTACATGTACATGTATTATGTAAGCAATTTACTGTAAACCAAATTTTATTTGTGTGCGAGAAATATCCGCGAGCTCCCAACTTGCTTCAACTCTGGAAAATTAATTGCCGCAAACATTCATTTTGCTAAGGATTTGAGGAGAATGTTTTTACGAATGCGGAAATTAATTGTCGCGGATTGAATTTAGACTGACAAATCGTGAATAAAAGATGACGCGAATAAAAGTTGGTTTACAGTACTCAGAAATATCTTGATAGAACTTGTTCAGCAAATGTATGCAAATTTATTTTTGAAAAATGATAAAGGAAATTTCTTTGGAATTTTTAAGTCACCTGAGTCACATATTGCTGTCTATTTTTGTCAGCCGTCTGTCATGGGTTACCTTTTGAACATTTTCAACCTATTCTCTTCAACAGCTGATCCAATTACAACCAATTTATGCAAATAGCATTGTATGGGTGGGAAGAGTTGTAAAAATTGTGAATTTCATGATCCTCGTCCCCTCTTCCCCGACATGAGAGATGGGGCTAAAAATTGTGAATTTCATGATTTCCCCCTCCCCTTCCCAGGGACATGAGAGGTGGGACTAAAACCATTGAAAGAAATGCAATCTTTAAAAATCTTCTTCACTCCTGGGCATCAAGCAGCCAAACTGGGGGCAGGATTGTAATCAGCATTGAGGCCTCTACCAAAATTGTGAAATTCATGGCCCCAGGGTCAGGGGTTCTCATGTTAGGGTGGGACTCTATAATGATTACATAGTAAAACTGCATTAATTTTTTGATAATCTTCTCCTCTGCTCCTGGGTAATACCGGTATGCTGATGATCTAAGTTTGTTAAGTGTATACACCAACCAAATTCATTTGTTGGAAAGTTGTACTTGTTATATAACACTCAGGTGACCTACAAGGCCCATGGACCTCTTGTTTAAAAGAACAAAGAACATCATATCTAACATTGTGTTATACCTTTGTCACTAATTTACTGGTGTTTGCATTTTCAGTCCCCATCTGTTTTTCGCCTTTAACCATGAAGGACGGCATCTTTGCCTTGATACCCATCTGCTCGAGGTAGTCCAGGGAATCTCTAAATCCTCTATCAATGACGAAGATGTCGTCCTCTCTGACCCAGTTGCAGATGTCCTCAATATTTGTCTTCATGACGTGGTTGAGAATGGTGGCATCATTGTTTTTGGCGATGTAAGGGCCCATCACAGAAACAAAGTAACCAGTGGTGGACACAATAACTAGAGGTTTTACTAGCGGCCTACCCTTGTGAAGACTGAAGGACTGTCGCTGGAACTTAAAGTTACCACTTTTATTAATGTAGATATATGTTCCGTCAAGGACAAGTATGGCCTGCTGGGTTCCTACATCACCAAAAAGGGACTGTGCTAATGGTCGCGTATGTGAATTGATGACTTTTTCTCTTGTTATATGACCAAATCCAAGATTCTCTGTTACAAATCTGCCATTCATCAAAGCTGTTCTAATTGATTTCATAGCCATATGTACACTGGACTTGGACACATTGAATAAGGTAGAGAGAATGCGATTTGAATCTCCTCCCCTGAGCTTCATCAAGAATATGGCAAGGCTAGTTCGTACGCTTCGTGCTGGAGTTGATCTGACTTTCCTTTCCTCAACATACATCAACAAGTCTTGAAATGCAGCTTTAGAAATTCCAAGGAGATCTACATATTCAGTGTCGGTAAGACTTTCGCTGTTGTTGAAATCTAGTCTAGTTTTCTCACTTCGCATGACTTCAGACCGTAAAAACTTTATAAGCTGAAAAATTGACGTTTTATTGAAGGTAGTGGTTTCAGCAACAGGATTAAGATTTTGGATGCTTTCTTGAAGATGCTTAGGGCAGCAACGAGAACCAGCTGGGATGATAACCTCCTTTGAAATAAAAATGCGGTGCCTTACGTCAACTGGAACTACGACTAGCTTGGGTCCTGGTCGTTTACAGATGCAACACATTGCATGGCCCCTTGATGTGCATGGAAAAGGCAGTGTTACCGATGGTGGGCTAAATGGAGGTGCAGGGGATGCTGATGACTGTTCTGTCCTACCATGGTTTTGTGGTCTGGGATAATTGGGGTGCTTTTTTTTCAGGTAGTAGTAGCACATACATTTGCATTTATTGCAAAGGAAATCCCTGTCGGAGGGTGTCCTTCCAGACAGCTTTGATATGACTGACCTACATTTCTTTGGAATACTGTGTCTGTCTTTTTGCCGCACTCTTCGAGGACAGTTAAAGCAGCAATAAAATTTTCTCGCAGAATCAGACATCTGAAATATTTAAAAAGAATGATACAGTTGTTATACTATGTAATTTCTATATTTTCAATGTTTAAAATGTTAATATTTTTTTACTTAAAATTTTGATTTATATATAAAACATGAAAAGAGAGAAAAAAATTATTTCTAAAGAAATTGACTTATTGTGTAAATTAATACTGTCACTTTAAAAATTCAAGTTACTTATCAAATTAATTCATTGTTACATGTATCAGAAAAAATCTACTGATTCAGAATTATATATATATATATATATATATATATATATATATATATATATATATATATATATATATATATATATATTGTTATTTGTTCTTCCTTTCTCTAGCATTTCTCTTCCTCTTGTTCTGTTGGTGGTTATTTTATTATTAAAAGCATACATAATTTTTTTAAAATTATTTTAAAATTCTTATTGATATTTTTGTAAGCAACCGTCATTTCAATGATACCACAGATATTTTATCAATTTATAAATACCATAAAATAGTTCATTTGTTTTATTTTAAAATTCATTTTCTCCTTCCTTTTTTGATAATGTTTGTTTGGTGTTGTTTATGCATGTACTGTGATGTTCATCATTGAAAGAGTTACTGCCCTTTACCTTCTTTTTTGAAATTATTGTGATGAAGATTTTCTACTAAGTAACGAGTATTTTTCTCATTTACATAAACAATAAATCTTTTTTTACATTTTAAAATAAAATATATTGAGATATAATTATTTTTCTTCACATATATGAATTTTTTTTCGATTGTAAAATAAAGCCTTTATTTTAAGGATTTTGTAAAAAAAATATAAAGTACTACTCGCACAGAGTGCGAAATCCCGGACAGAATGACAGATTGAAAGAGTGAAAACCGATGAAATGATAGATATTGGGGCTTAAGGAGAAATTGTTTTACAAATATGATTTAATTTAATAGGAAACAGTTTTCTAGCCATTTAAGAAGCTGAGTGACATACTGCCGATTACTTAAGACTGCAGTGTTCGCCACTTTAAGGGAAAATATTAATAATTAGGAATTTATTTATCATTTTATATTAATCATGCGTATTTTACTGTAGAAACAATAATCAAATGCACTCACCTTTCTACAGCATGTTTCCCAGAAATTGATTTTTTTTCCTCTAAATCAGAAATCACTGCAGCTTCAAAATTCTGGCATTTCTTCCAGGAATAATAACAGACGGTAGTATTTTCACGTGAGATGGAATTTATTTATTTTTTTTTTCAACATGAGCACACTCGTTAACGCAAAATCTTTTCACTGAAAAACATTTCTCAGACCTGTATATGTCATTTTCTGTTTTATTATTTTGCGGTAACGACTGTGCTATATGTGTAAATTTGAATTAAAATGTGCTAACTTTTGGAATTTTCCCGGAAAACGTCGATCCACCGTTTGTTTAGTGTTTAGTTTGCCCTGATAAACATCCGGTACAAAGAAAATTTTGTGTACGTAAAATAAGTCAATGTTTGAGGATGATAAGTAACACTTTCGTTTATTCTAAATACTTTTTTGAAATTTTCACTATTTACTAGGCCAAATAAGGCATATTGTGGATTGAATTCTTTAAATTCATTATGTTAAACTAATGTAGCAAAACATACAAAAAGCAGTTTAATTGCATTAAATTATGAAATTTTACTAGCGTACTCTAAAGTACTCTATCATACTAGCGTACTCTGGTTAGTAGGGCCGGGAGAAGTAGCATTTTGAAAGAATTTCACAGAAATTTCTATTTTTCCTAACAACGCCAAGACCATTTGTCGAAATCAAAAATCGATACAGAGAATTATGTATCGTAGTGTAGTCTACTTGTGTGCCAAGTAATATGAAATCAGACCAAAACACTGTTCGTCGAAATCAAAATCCGACAGAATTATGTATCTTAGTGTAGTCTACTTATATGCCAAGTTATATTGAAATCAGATCAAAACTGTAAGAGGGGTAGCATTTTGAAAAATTGTTTACAGACAGACAAATGGACGGACGCCGGACGCATTACTATCGCATAAGCTCTTCTGGTCTCTGACCAGTAGAGCTAAAAATCAGGGGATGCTACTAAAATTAGGGGACGCTTTGTTGTTAGGGTGCTCGACTAGCTCCCCTTTGTACTGAGGTCTTACTTGTTTTACATTCCGATCCTCATTATGTCCGTATAATTTATTCCACGTTACATCAGGCATATTTAGAACCTGAGTAATGCGCATTTTTGTTGGTACCACATTATCACGTACAGGGGGTATGTTTAAACGAATGGTTTTGTGTCCGAGTTACTAAAACATCTGTGAAATTTTAAAGTAGTTCATTCTATAAACTATTCGTGGAAGGTTCCTTCTTGAATTAATTACAAACACAAGTAGCTTAGAAACAAACAGGTTTATCTATGTTACTAGCCAAGACGTGACACCTAAGGTGAACCTAACTTATTTATACAACTATTAGCTTTCCTAAAAAGCTTGTCTGACGTGGTGTGCTTGAAACAGGTAGAGGAAACTACCTAATATGAATATTGTTGTCGTTGCGCACAACGACCAATAATCCAATCTAGTGAATGAGCCGAAAAGCATGATGTTATACTACATGTTTATTTTTATTATGTGTAGCTCTACTGGTCAGAGACCAGAAGAGCTTATGCGATAGTAATGCATCCGGCGTCCGTCTGTCTGTCTGTCTGTCTGTCTGTAAACAATTTTTCAAAATGCTACTCCTCCTACAATTTTAGTCTGATTTCAATATAACTTGGCATACAAGTAGACTACACCAAGATACATAGAATAGTGCATTGGTTTTTAATTTCGATGAACAGTGTTGCCATGGTTACTAAAAATAGAATTTTCTGTGAAATTCCTTTTAAACGCTACTCCTTCCACAGTTTTGGTCTGATTTCAATATGACTTGGCACACAAGTAGACTACACTAAGATACATAGAATAGTGAATCGGTTTTTGATTTTGACGAACGGTGTTGCCATGGTTACTAAACAAAGGATTTCCTGTGAAATCCCTTTAAAATGCTACTCCTTCCACAATTTTGGTCTGATTCCTCACTTTGGAATAAGCCAATCCCTCATTTTCACATTACAAAGTGCAGCAACCTGTCTCTGGGGACGAGGAATAGCAGAGGATATTGAGGGTTGTTAGTCTCCTTCACATTTACTTCCTCAAGCGGTACTTCATCCTGGAACATAATATAATATAGACGTGTAATAAAAGGACCGTTGACTCTTTCGGGGTGCTCTATATTTTTCATGATATTTCAAAAATTCTAGTTCCGAATAGTGTTGTAAAATTGGACAAATTTTACTATCGATTATCAAATTGTGAATTTCATGATCCATGCCCCCCTGTTGCAACCACTATTGAAATAACGACCACTATTGAAATAATTATATCAATAGTGGTTGAGGGTGCATATCAATAGCAAACATAGTTCGTAACCACTATTGAAATACGACCACTATTGAAATGATTATATCAATAGTGGTTGAGGGTGCATATCAATAGCAAACATAGTTCGTAACCACTATTGAAATACGACCACTATTGAAATAATTATATCAATAGTGGTTGAGGGTGCATATCAATAGCAGACATAGTTCATAACCACTTTTGAAATACGACCACTATTGAAATAATTATATCAATAGTGGTTGAGTATGCATATCAATAGCAGACATAGTTCATAACCACTTTTGAAATACGACCACTATTGAAATAATTATTTCAATAGTGGTTGAGTATGCATATCAATAGCAGACATAGTTCATAACCACTATTGAAATACGACCACTATTGAAATAATTATATCAATAGTTGGTGAAAATGCATTTCAATATATAAGAACAATAGTTTCATCAACTATTGTCTTATTGATAGAAGAGTTTTACCGCGTAATTTTGAATTTTTTACCAAGATTTCACAAAAATGGGATTGAGAGTAAAAAATGTATAAATTTAGATTAAAAAATAAAAATGTATAGCTTAATAAGGATAATTTCTTTATACTCTAGAAATTTATTATATAATTTATTATATTGTATCTCAATTTTGTCTTTATAGTGGCATATATGCCCTATTGACCAGATGTACTATGTATTATTAATTTACCATTTTCAATGAAATCAGACCAAAAAGATACACCAACCCCGGCATCCATATTTTTGTTTTCATCATCAGTTGTTAGATGAAGATTTAGATAGTTATTGAAATAATGATTTAAAGTGATTTAAATAATTATTTTGATAGTTGCAAGGTTCCTCGTCACAACAGGCATTGGCACGGTAAAGATCCCTCACTGCTGAATGGCCCTGAGTGCCGGTTAAAGGTCAAACTTTGAAGTCCTTCGCCGGTAAATGGTGACGTCTCTACATGAGTTGAAAATGGCCGAATGACGTAAAACAACAATCAAACGACAGTGGCAGATTGATTTTTGTATTTAAAAAGTGGACATTATTTGAATAGATGCTGAAACCTATGGTCCTTACATTGAAATGCATTTTCACCCACTATTGAAATGATTATTTCAATACTGGTCGTATTTCAATAGTGGTTACTAGCTATGTCTATTATTGAAATGCACTCTCAACCACTATTGATATAATTATTTCAATAGTGGTCGTATTTCAATAGTGGCTACGAACTATGTTGTAACTGATAGGCACCCTCAACCACTATTGATATAATTATTTCAATCGTGGTCGTATTTCAATAGTGTTTATGAACTATGTCTGCTATTGATATGCACCCTCAACCACTATTGATATAATTATTTCAATAGTGGTCGTATTTCAATAGTGGTTATGAACTATGTTTGCTATTGATATGCACCCTCAACCACTATTGATATAATTATTTCAATAGTGGTCGTATTTCAATAGTGGTTATGAACTATGTTTGCTATTGATATGCACTCTCAACCACTATTGATATAAATATTTCAATAGTGGTCGTTATTTCAATAGTGGTTGCAACACCCCCCCCCCCCCCTGGGGCCAGAGGGGTGGGGCCAAAACCACTAAAATTAAGGCAATCTTTAAAAATCTTCTTCTTTACTCCTGGACATTAAGCAATCGAACTGTTTGCATGATTGTAATCAGCAATGAGTCCTCTAACAAAATTGTGAAATTCATGGCCCTGGGGTCAGGGGTTCTAGTGCTAGGGCGGTGCTAAATAAGTAGGTAGTGAAAATGCATTATTTATTTGAAAATCGTCTTATCTGCTCCTGGGTATTAAATAAACCAACAAAGTACATAGTTATTAGGGCTGGGACGATACTGAACTGATCCGATCCGATACATATCACGATACCTTAGGTGCGATACGATACATATCACGATACATTTAAAACCAAATAAAACTAGATAATTTTTTAGAACATTTAATTTTGAACAAAACAGTGTGTGAAAATAAACTAATTTAACAAATGAACTGGGAATTAGAGTTTCTTGACTCAAATTGACTGTTGTTCGTGCCCCGTCTTTGTCATATACCGGGAGTCCAGAAGTGTCCCAGACACCCGATTTACTGCCAATTGGTTTCGTTAATTTGATGTAATCTGGCGTGTCGGACGCCATTTTGATGCTTATATTTAGAATTCTGTATCAGCAAGACGTTTGTAGTTTATTTGTGTTTGTTTAAACGTCTTGATGATACAGACTATAGGACTAAAAATTTCGAATTCTAAAGCCCGGAAATTTTGGAAATAAAAAAAAAGTGCGGTAAGGTATCGTGATACTTAATTATATGAATCGATCTGTAGATCGTCAAAGTGAATACTGCGATGCATCGGTGCACCGGTGGATCGTCCCACTCCTAATAGTTATGATGAGCCCCAGGGTCAGGGGTTTTGGTGTTAGGGCGGGGCTCTATTGATTATATAGTGAAAATACATTATTTCTTTGAAAATCTTCTCTGCTCCTGGGTATTAAATAAACTAACTAAGTACATAGTTATGATGTTTTAAACTGCCCGTGGTAGCTATTGCATATTGCCAGCGACATTGTTTAGGTCTCTGTTATAGCTTACAGTCTAAGCATCATTCTTCAGAAAAGGGTTGCTTATGCATCAGATGTAATGAATAAAACTATGGGAGAAGTTCAGTCCATTTGAGGAAGAAATGAACAATACTGTGGTTTCATTAATATTCGTGGGCATCAATTTTCGTGGATTTAGTAAAATTCACAGTTTCGTGGATACGTAAATTCGTGGATAATGGCGCTAACAGAAAAAAAAATTGTCTATCTTTTCATTTTTTCTTTCGTCGTTATGCTTTAGCGGGAACATTGTGCCATTAACAATATAAGGGTACATAGATATCTTTATAGAAAATTACTAACAGGAGATATTTAATTATCTCCATTGGCTTTTCGAAAGTCGGAACCTTCAACGGTGAATTATTCCTTTAATTCGCAAGTGTGGAATACGGACAAAAATTATGATCGCAAGTGTGGAATACGGACGGTAATTAAGTTGCAACAGGATATTAAAAGTAACAACAATTAAGTATTATTTCAATTCACAAAATGGCGTTAGTTACTCATTTTCACATGTACGGCGTGTTTTTGGGGCTTGACAGAGACACCCAGACCCATAGTTTGAAGATCTCGGAACAAACACATTCACGTGCGATCATGCGCGATGGGTACAACATCCGCTTAAACAAGTAATATGAACGACAATAATTCAGCCATGAATGTTAAATTGCAGCATCCATGTAAACCCATTACCTCATGTATAACAAAAATATGTTTCTAAGCAAAAAGATAAAATTCAAATAGCATTAAATTGTGTTGATAATTTGTATGAATTTAGCATGTTTTAACGGAAGAGAGTAATAAATTATTTCCATCAAATTTTTTATGTAACGGTTATTTGTTGTTTTCACTGTTCAGGTGATAATTGGGGTTTGGACACTTAATTAAATTGTTTGAGAAAACAATTTCACACATTTACGCCTGATTATCATCCTATGGCTTTGGGGGTATATCGCTGATTGGTGTATGCACTGCGTTGACAGATCTACGTGTTGTTTGTTTATCTCCGTGCAGAACGTTTTATTAAAAAAAATTCAGATAAAATTAAAATTATTTTCTCATTTTTTAAATTAAAATTATTTTAAAAAAAGGAAAAATAGGTTTTGAAAGTCGATCTGTTGAGGAAAAAAAACGGGTAGGGCTATTTAATATATATTAACGAAAGTCGGAATGGGCTTTTAAAAGGTTTATCGTAAATCAAAATGTAGGCACCAAACTTCGTTGAACATTTGATTTCGTGGATCCACTCAACAACGAAATCCACGAAAATTGGTGCTCCACGAATATTAATGAAACCACAGTAAGTAACTGAAGAAATAAAAAAAAAATTCAACTATTGAAAGGCAAGAATATACAAATATATACAGGCATGTAGTATCATTTGTATCAGCCAGAGTAATTATTTTACACTTAATTGAGAGAACGTTCCCCCTACTCCCCAATACTGCTTGTCTGTTTTTAGGTCACCTGAGTAAACTCAGGTGACCTGTTGCTATCCGTTTTCGTCCGTCGTCGTGCGTCGTTCGTCGTGTGTTAACATTTGAACATTTTCAGCTTCTTCTCTGAAACCACTGAACCAATTTCAACCAAATTTGGCACAAAGCATCTATGGGTGAAGGGGAACAAAAATTGTGAATTTCATGATCCCTGCCCCCCTGGGGCCTGAGGGGTGGGGCCAAAACCACTAAAATTAATGCAATCTTTAAAAATCTTCTTCTTTACTCCTGGACAACAAGCAGGCAAACTGTTTGCATGATTGTAATCAGCATTGAGTCCTCTAACAAAATTGTGAAATTCATGGCCCTAGGGTCAGGGGTTATAGTGCTAGGGCGGGGCTAAATTAGTAGGTATGGAAAATGCATTATTTCTTTGAAAATCTTCTTCTCTGCTCCTGGGTATTAAATAAACCAACTAAGTACATAGTTATGATGAGCAAGTGTGCCTCTACCAAAATTGTTAATTTTATGGCCCCAGGGTCAGGGGTTCTTGTTTAGGGGGGGGGGGGGGCTCTAATGATTATATAGCGAAATGCATGAATTCTTTGAACATCTTATCCTTTGCCCCTGGTTAATATGCTAATGATCTAATTACATATTTAAGGCCAGGATTTATTTTTTTTTTAGTTTTTCAAACCCTCCGCTCAAGGTTTTGAATGTAAAGAAAAAAAAAAATAAAACATTTCTTTCTTTCCGATGTCAAATTTGAGTCGGGATCGAGATTTCAAATTTACGAACTCGCACTTCCGGTTTTAGGATGAAACAGCGGGTAAATAAAGCTTGATCTGAGAAGAGCTTGGTTTAGTGTAAAATTCATCGATAAGAGTGCCATTCAAAACGTTTCACCCGTTCAAAAGACAAATAAAATGCTGACGACTTTGTTGCACAATGACATGCTGGTGAGATAATTATGTATTCGGTAATGAATAAAATTATGGGAGAAGTGAAGTCCATTTGAGGAAGAAATAAACAATAACCTGAAGTGAAGAAATAAAAAAAAATTCAACATTTTAAAGGTGAGATAATTATGTATTCGTTTCAAAAGTAACTAAATTATTTTCCTTCCCCAGGTTTTTAACTGCCCGTGGTAGCTATTGCATATTGCCAGGGACATTGTTTAGGTCTCTATTATAGCTTACAGTCAAAGCATCATTCCTCGGAAAAGGGTTTCTTATGCATCAGGTGTAATGAATAAAACCATGGGAGAAGTGAATTCAAATTTGAGGAAGAAATAAACAATAACCTGAAGAAATAAAAAAAAATTCAATTATTAAAGGCAAGAATATACAAATATATACAGGCATGTAGTATCAGAAAAATTATTTTACACTTAATTGAAAAAAATGTTGACCCTACTCCCCAATACTCCCTGTCTGTTTTATGATAGGAATTATAATTTTAGGCATCAAGTAAATTTTAGAACAATGTCTACACATTCATATAACACACATTAAAAAAAATGAAGATATATTGAAATATATTTTGATCAACATCACAAAATTTATATAACTGGCCCAAACTGGCAGATGATGAAATAAGCAATTAAATGTTCTACTTTCCTATTTGTAAGCATTATGTGTCCAGTGGTAAGGAGCCTATTAGGATAGCATAAAAAAGAATGTACAAATGTTAATAATTGATTTATCAAAAAAAAAATTATTTCCTCCTTCGGGACTTTTTTATTCTCATGTTCATAACTAAACCTAAACATAAAAAAAAAATGCTGGCCTTATAATGAAGAAAGGGGCCTCTTTCAAAATAGATAATTTCTCGGGGTCAGGGGTACCAGGGGGGTACTTTGACTAAAAATGAATTAATGCTTTGAAATCTGCCCTTTGATAAGCAATGGTGCCTCTTTCAAAATTTGTGAATTTCATGGCTTTTGGAGTAAAACACGAACCAAATATAATCACTGGAAAGTTGTTACATGATACTCAGGTGACCTATAAGGCCCGAGGGCCTCTTGTATGATAAGAATAATAATTTTAGGCATCAGGTAAATTTTAGAACAATGTCTACACATTCATCTAACACATATTAAAAAAAATGAAGATATATTGAAAGACTTTTAAAGAATTGATTTTCTAAAATATATTTTGACCAACATCACAAAATTTATATAACTGGCCCAAACTGGCAGCTGATGAAATAAGCAATTAAATGTTCTTCTTTCCTATTTGAAAGCATTATGTGCTCAGTGGTAAGGAGCCTATTAGAATAGCATAAAAAAAGAATGTACAAATGTTAATGATTGATTTATCAATTTTTTTTTAGGTCACCTGAGTAAACTCAGGTGACCTATTGCTATCCGTTTTCGTCCGTCGTCGTGCGTCGTGTGTTAACATTTGAACATTTTCAGCTTCTTCTCAGCAACCACTGAACCAATTTCAGCCAAATTTGGCACACAGCATCTATGGGTGAAGGGGAACAAAAATTGTGAATTTCATGATCCCTGCCCCCCTGGGACCTGAGGGGTGGGGCCAAAACCACTAAAATTAATGCAATCTTTAAAAATCTTCTTCTTAACTCCTGGACATCAAGCAGTCAAACTATTTGCATGATTGTAATCAGCATTGAGTCCTCTACCAAAATTGTGAAATTCATGGCCCTGGGGGTCAGGGTTTTTAGTGCTAGGGCGGGGCTAAATAAGTATACAGTGAAAATGCATTATTTCTTTGAAAATCTTCTTCTCTGCTCCGGGGTATTAAATAAACCAACTAAGTACATAGTTATGATGAGCAAGAGTGCCTCTACCAAAATTGTGAATTTAATGGCCCCAGGGTCAGGGGTTCTGGTGTTGGGGCGGGGCTCTATAAATTATATAGTGAAAATACATGAATTTTTTGAAAACCTTCTTCTCTGCTCCTAGGTATTAAATAAACTAACTAAGTGCATAGTTATAATGAGAAAGAGTGACTCTACCAAAATTGTGAATTTTATGGCCCCAGGGTCAAGGGTTCTGGTGTTGGGGGGGGGGGGGGGGGTTCTATTGTCTGATTATATAGTGAAAATACATGAATTCCTTGAAAAACTTCTTCTCTGCTC